TGTGTGTGTGTGTGTGTGTGTGTGTGTGTGTGTGTGTGTGTGTGTGTCTGGAGCCTGACAGAGGTGCATGAAGCACAGTCAGGCTGTAAGTGGCTCTAATTGAGGCAGGTAATTAACCATCAAGGCCCCTCTGCATCTCTCAGCAGAGATGGGGGAGAGATGTGGACGTAAAGGAGGAAGGGAAAAAGAATGATGATGAGGTGATGAAGGGGAGGACGGAGGGTTAAGCTAGACTAGCTGGCTGGAGTGAGTGGGGACATACAGAAAGGGATGAAGGGGATGGCAGCAAAGAGGGATGGAGGGAATTGAGGAAAGATGGGGGAAGAAGTGAGAAGGAGCCACGGTTCAAAGACGAAGAACAGGAGAGAAGATGAATGAAAAAATATAAAGGTACAGCTTAACATATATCTAAAAGAGAGAACACTTGGTGTGTGTGTGTGGGGGGGGTACTCAAGACAAGAAAACAGATGCATAGTACAAAGAAGAGCAGCTGAAATGGAAGAAACTAGAAAAAGAGGACATTGAAAGAATAGGGAAGGAAAATGGGAATGGGAAGAATAGGGAAGGAAATCGAAAAGGAAAGAAACGAAAATAAGGAAAATACATTAATGAACACCAATGTGACGTCATGACCATCTTTGTTGTGAAACTAAAGATCTGAGAAAACAGAAGAAAAAAATACGACAGAGGAAAGTGACAAAAGAGACCCAACAAAGGCTCAAATAAAAACTGAAAACACAACTATGTAATCTGACAGAGGAGGGAAAACATGGAAGAATAAAGAAGGAGAACAGATGGGAAGGATGAACAGCACCACAGCAAGCTGCTTTTTTCCCAGCAGATAGAATCTCCTCCCAGTTTTCCCACAGCTGATCCGTCCTGCTCCCCATTACAATCAGGCCTTCATTACCTCCCATTAAGCCTGGAAACTTTTTTCACCTATTGCAGACATTAAATGTTCAATCTGACGGCTGCAAACATGCAGCACAATCACAGATATGTTTGAAAAATCGGCCGAACCATTCCCATTCAGCACAGGAAACGGCTCAGACGCTGAAGCTCATCCATCACTGCCACCCAAAAGATCCAATCACAATATGGACCCTTCTGGGCAGCACTTGCATAAAGTTTACTCAACTATGAGTTATTTTCGTTGTCAGCTGCCAGTTATTTAATCTCTTTGTCTAGAATTGTCAGAAAATGCCCGTCATAATTTCCCACAGTCTTTAAAATTGCCTGTGATACCCGACCGACGATAAACAGAACAACTATGATATCATCAGGCTTGGAAAGACGGACATATTTTTTCAGCCTTTTATGAGTACGAGAGAGGTGAACGTGCTTGTAAAAGTGTGTAACTCTGTCTTGTTTTTTACCAACATGCATTGTTAAATATATTTTATATTTTTTGTTTGATTTGTTTACATGGGAATTTGGGCTTTTTTAATGCTCCCTATCATTATTATGAGGTCATATTACAAATGTTCACACAATTTTCCGTTCACAAACAACAGGTGGGATAATGGAAAGGAAACCTCAGGAACAGCAGCGTTCAGACCGATGTCATTTTTTGTGATGGCTTCCATGTGTGATGTTTTGCCAAGAGCCGGTTGACCTTTATTTTAGTAATTTGTGAGGAATTGACTGTCCAAAACATACGCACATCACTAAAAATGGCCCAGTTTCACCTCTAAAAATGTATACCTAACCACGGACCACCTCACCTCACCTCCAACCAAATGTTTTCAAATGCTGAAACAAACCTCTGTCGGACGTAATCTGTAGTCATGGATGCCAGTGTTGCAGTTTGCAAGGTGTAGCTTCCACCAGCAAAGGCAAATAAAGCCGAATTGTTATTTACAGTGGATTTGTTGGTTTAGAATAATCTCTCCAAATGTCTTACATCTGTTATTGTTATATACAATTCTAGCTGAAATGGCACATTTGGCTTGAATTAAACTTTTTGGGTGGGTCATTTGTTTAGACAACAACATGACATTTGCATGACATTTAGCTTAAGAGGAAAGCAAATATTAGTCCAACCATACAGGCAGAGACTGAACATGAGCAAAAACTTTTAAAAAAAATGAAAAGAAAAGTGAATAAAAACATTTGAAAATGATTAATTTCCAGGAAATTCATGTTTGTCAGAGTTTGTGTACAGGTCAAAAAGCCATCCAGGCAGAAAACCAACAACAGTCGGCAGCCATATTGATTCTCACCACCTTATGAGAACATTTGGAATTTGGAAGTTGTTCTTTGAGGCAGGCACTTGCTCACAGGAGCTGGATAGCTTCAATTTCCGTGCTACTGTAGCACTCTCATCGGACTGAAAGTAAGTTGTGAACCTTCCAGCCTGCTGCTGCTGCAGTCGAAGTGCGTGTGTGTGCGTGTGTGTGTGTGTGTGTGTGTGTGTGTGTGTGTGTGT